AAACAGAACGTTATGCATCAGCTGAAGCCGATTGCACAGCCGCTTTAAGACTAGACAGAACTTCTGTTAAAGCATTTTATCGGTAAGTACTTGGTTGGATTATTATTAATATCTTCAACCTAAAGTAGGATTACTGTGCTAAAATATGAAATTTGTTTAACCGTCATATAATTTGTAGGGTTTTATTTCAGTTAGGTAGGCATTCAACTCATAATTTGGAAACGAAGTTTAAACTGATATTTATTCGTACCAATTAATAGTTTGATTGTAGCCAATGTCATATTGTGTCTAATCCTTATTGCTAGTCAAATTCTATTAATCAAGTTGTAATTTGATGATATCTGTGACTGTGAGTCCCGTGGGAGCATCGGTTATCTTAGGATTCTCGAATTATCCTGTTGACTAGTGACTGAGACGGAGCTTCCTGTTATTTTGTTTCAACTACCTGATCTCTCTATGCTGTGTTTTCCTTTGCCCACTAACTCAGTTGATTTATGTGTCAACTGTTGATAGCTCACTTGAAGTTCTCTCATTCCTGAACTAGCAGTCAGAACATCAGAAAAACCATCCATGTACCTTGTGTTCTTCGTGTTATTGTATTAATCGATTTAAAAAAGACTCCTGATTACGTAATATAAATACTAGACTACAAAGCTCCATAAACAATAAATCTTAATTGGTACACAGCTGTGACATTTGTGATAAGGTGAGTATATATATATATATATAATAGTAGGTAACCGGAACACTGTATCACTAATAAAAAAAACACAGAACTGAGTTCTGATATGAATGATGCTTTTATTTGGTGTTCAGGTAACACATTTTGTTTATCAGTAATAACAATCACAAAAATCTATATCGACATTTTAGTACAGGCTGTATTTATTTTAACACATAGATATTAGTACATGGAGGCACCAAACACATATGCGCCACACAAATCTTATTTGATATGTGTGAGAGCTGTGATACTGCCCGGGTACCCAGACCGAAACAGGTGGTTTTCTTAGGGGGACACACCTCGAGCCTTCAACCTGAACGTCTGATCCACAAGGCAGTGGAGCATCGTAAGGAGATGCAGTCCCATGGTAGCCGGTGACCAACGATTGGTCCATACGCCATTTGTTCTTTCAGGATACTGGAGCGCATTTGCACCATTGGTTTGGGATCCGGTTAAAGCGCCGGACATTTGGTTTTCGTCCTCTCATTTTCGTAAACAACAGCCGTGGTGCAAGAAGGCAGTGAGTAGAACTTCCCTGGCAAAGGCTGTATACGCGTGACCATATGAGAGCATTTGGGGGCAGTACAGGCTGCTTACAATACTGTGTCATAGTAAACTTTATTTAGCATATTTATTATTTATGTATTAAATCATATTACTTTTTAGAAGAGCACTTGCTCGAAAAGGTTTGGGTCATATTACTGGAGCAATTGAAGATTTAAAAGAATTGCTTAAATTCGATTCAGATAACAAAACTGCCATAAATGAGCTCGAAGCTTTAATTGGTAAAAAGGAAGTTTCACATATGTCTAAATCCCCCGTGTCTTGTAGTTCAATTCAGTCGAGTAATCTGAGAAAAATGAGACGAATACCAATCATTGAAGTCGATGGTGATAATCATAATAAACAAATGCTGAATACACCTGTACAGAATAGTACAAAATCTGTTTTTACTGATGATAATATTTCCGTCTCAAATAATAACAGGTATTCTATTTTGAATAAGCATCAATCAAAAGATGAGAGTGTTTTGCATTCGACTCCAGAGACATCAGATCGTTTGGAATCTCGGAATATATCCTCGAGTACGTCAACGCCAATAGTATCAACTAGTGGAACAATTAATTCTAGAAGTGATCATAATTTTAAAAGGCAGTTACCATTGCTAAATACGAACTTACATAAACCACCATCAAATTGGCTTCAGTTAGAACGTGAACTACGTGAATTATGCCAGAGAAGTTCTTCATCCAACTGTCAATCAAACCTTAGCAAAGAAGCAATCATTTATTTGTGTAATATTCAACCAGTTCATTATGTGAAATTATTCGGTGAAAATATGGAAAGTGATTTCTTATCACGTATGCTACAAGCATTTTCTCATTCAGATCAATTGACAAATCAACAAATTTTAGATCGTTTATTATTTTTATCAAAATTGCCAAGATTTGATATTGCTTGGATGATGATTGATGGGTCAGAACGTGTAAATATAATTAAATTTATTAAGAATTTACAAAATGATAATTCACTTGATAAAGAATTACTCAAACAAATTTATGTACAGTTTGAATGTGAATAAATATTTTTGAAGGTAAATATTCTTACTGGACAATTGTTGACTAACGGTAATCGAATAGCTTTCCACCATTTATTATATTTTATTTCAAGTTGCCTGTTTTGAGTACTGGGTTAAATTTTAAGAGGTAACATCTGACTTTAAAAAAAAAACCCAAAAAACGTACTTATTCAAAAGTCGTGTATTGCAGTTATCTAGGGTACCCTTGATTTCCAAAGGTTCGTCAGCTATAAACTCGATTTATAAATTATGTAGTTCCTTTATAATATTTCTACCTATATTGTAGTGGCTTCTATGCAATTCGCACTTAATCAGTTGGCAATCAATGTCCGTAGGTACGGTATGTGCTTTGCACCTTCGAAGTGCAAAGTACTTCTACAAGACTGGCAGGATTCTAATCGTGTACTCACCCTCGATGGTGAGCAGATAGAAGTAGTCGAGAAGTTCGTGTATCTAGGAAGCTGCATAAGTGCCGGTGGTGGCGTGAGTGATGAGATCAATGCACGTATAGTGAAAGCCAGAGCGGCTTATGCCAATCTTGGCCACCTTTAGCGCTCTCGTGATGTTAGTCTGGCTGTAAAAAGTCGGATCTATAACGCGTCGGTGAGAGCAGTTTTGATCTATGCTCGTGAAACCTGGCCTCTCAGAGTTGAGGATGTTAGACGACTCTGTGTTTGATCATCGCCGTCTCCAAAGGATTGCTGACATCCAGTGGCAACACCATGTTAGTAAGGCAGAGGTTCGGCATCGTGTGTTCGGGCACAGAGACGATAATGCGATTGGTGTCACCATCTTAAAACACTGACTTCGGTGGCTTGGACATGTTCTACGAATGTCGTCCCAGATAATTCCACATCGTGTATTATTTGCCGACTCTTGGAATGGTTGGAAAAAGCGGAGAGGTGGTCAGTGTATGACATGGTGTCATGGTATGAAAGAAAGCTGCAAAGGGATGGCTTGTGTTGGTCCTTCACGACTCCCTGGCTGGGGTCCGGGAGATGATGTAACACAGTGGCTGGCGATGTTATCAGATATGGATCAGAATAAAAGCCAGTGGCGATCCTGCCGTAACCTTCTTTTACTCTCTTCCTTAACTGTGAGATTTCTTCAGAGTGTACCTTTTGTCTCCCCCATCATTGTTCTCTTTTTTTATAATTCCCTACGTTCCTTACCTTTTTTTCCTTCCTCTACTTAAATCTTGATTGTTTTGTGTGGCGCATATATATTTGGTGCCCCCCTGTACCAATATTTATGTGTTCAAATAAATAAAGTGGCTTAGCTTCGTTAATTAATCACCTTGATAACCATTATTACATAAATCCCAACGGTTTGGGCATCGGGCAGAGTATCCCAACCCTCACACAAATCGAATGATTTATGTGGCGCATATCTATTTGGTGCCTCCTTGTACCAATGTTTATATATTTAAATAAAATAAAAATCCCAACGGTGTTTGAAATCAGATGTTGCGACTACAGTTTATTGGTAGATAACAAATATAACAAAGCTACAAGTACACCGAGCGGATTTTGAGCAGAGACTGATGTATATGCTCGAGTGAATATAGAGGCAAATTTGTGGTCAAATCGCATACAAGCGCAGCATAGGTTGTTGATAGGATTTGAGTACATATATACATGGAGAAAATAATGATTCATCGAGCAATATTTAAGATAGAGAGGGATATGAGCGTAGGCTGTCATATGCGATCAAGCGTACACATTTATACTGACAAGCTACTGGTCATAATAGAACAACGGAATAGATAAATTTTTAATGTCCGAATAACATTGTCTGTGAAATGAGTTAATAAAAGGGCTTAACAAAAGTTAACCATTATCAAAATTGATAGTAGAAAACTCGACAATATTTTCGCTTTGTTTTCCGTACAAACAAAAGTAATATGACAGAGTGAATCAATATGAATACAAGAATAGATTGCGTTAATACAACAAGAATTCACACAAAATACGATTGATTCTCTTTGTTGCCTTATGTTTCATTAAAATGCAGTGACACCAGAGGACAATATGTACTCTATGACTGCAAAGAATCCTTGTTTAGCAAAATTTCTTAGAAATTACTGCCAGAAATGCAGACCCTTTTGAGTTGTGCTGCTTTCGGGATCAAATTTTACTAACTCTATTAATAACTGATAGCCATTTCGAAAACAATCAACTCTGTATAGTATTCTAACGAATCAGCTTATCAAGGTAATGAGTGCTGGGTTCAAGTTTCCATTGTAAACACTAAAACTTACTGTTATTCAAATAAGTCCAAGAAATATATATTCTACATTTCATTGCTGTTAACGACTCAAAATGTCATCGATGAAAAGAATTTACATATAAATTACCTAGATTAGCTGCATTTAGGCGAACAATTGTCAGTACTGAAGTTAATACATTGCTTATTTACATGAGCATTTGTGACAATCTCCCACCACTCATGAGTTTTTAACATGGTAATATACACAACCTCATTGCATTTAATCAAAACGGTACAAAAAAAAACAAATACAGAAAGGCCACAATAAGAAAAGCACAAGTGTTCTTTCTTTAAATTTTTTCTTATGTGTATACATGCCGATCATAGTGGTCATTTCAATTATTCTTATTTCATCACAGACTGCATGAATTTGAAACGAATAAGTTATTATTTGATTCGTAGTATTTTGAAGTATCATTATTTCTATATCTATTCAGTATCGGACAATGAATGGGTACTTGAACTTGACATACGATGAAGATCACTTGAAGTCCACAGAAAGCCTATAAAGAAAAAAAAGACTTATTAATCAGGTCAGAATGAATCCATTCAAACTTGACGCACATATTTTGTGTGAGATCTGATGACATTATCTGTCTGTCTAAACTGAAGTAAGTGGTCCAAACATGTAACCCAATAACTGCAAATCAGTTACTTTAAACATAAAGACGGACATAGTGTCAAGTAAAATCCACGTTATATTATATTAGAACTAATGTAAACCCGTGACTAAAATGATGAAATTGGAAAACCTTATTACACGATAAAGGCAAAATAAAGTGGGGATTAAAATTTTTTAAATGAATAGGAAATAAAGAGCGTCACAAGACAAGCCCTCACATGGAATCCTCAAGGTCGAAGGAGGAGAGGAAGACCAAAGAACACATTACGCCGGGAAATGGAGATAGACATAAGTAAAATGAACAAGAATTGGATGAAACTAGAAATAAAGGCCCAGGACAGAGTGGGTTGGAGAGTGTTGGTCGGCGGCCTATGCTCTATTAGGAGTGACAGGCGTAAGTAAGGAAATAAAGAAAATACTACGGAGCCCCTGAAAATTAAGACATTTGTTTAGCATACCTTGGTAACTTATTATTTGACTGGTATAGATTTGTAAAACCTGTCTTCGGATTATTGTCAGCTTCAGATTTTATTTGCCAATTTGTGGCATTTCAGGTACAAACACCGTGTTTTTATTTGGATAATTTGAGTTTAATGAACATGTATTGTAGTTAGCAATCAATTTAGTGCCACGGGAAATCATAAATCTTTATAATAATTTTCTAATATAAAAAGTTTCTGGATAAAATGCATAGGATAAAACTTACTAGAACTTGGAGTCATGGGTTCATCAAGATTACTAGTTTTTGGTGTAGCCATGCCAGCATTAAATGCACTCGGTAAGGGGGTACTGTCACCACGAGGAGTTGTACTTGCTGCATGTGGTGTTTGAGCACCATAGGCCAACTGTTATTTAAGGGATAGAAAAGATGATAAAAAGTAAGTAATATTGAAAATGGAATAAGTTTTCTGCCAATCAAGAAAGTGAACTGTTATATGCATTAGAACTATGTGTTATCGATAAGTTATCTCGAGATGTCATATCATCGTACACTGATGCAATCTTTATTTAAACTGTCGACTACATATGTGAAGAAAGGTAACTGAACAGAAAAGATAGTACTACTGTGATTTTAAGAAACATACTTAGTTTATGTTTTATAATAAGTTGTTCGGACAACTACTGGGTCAAAGTGACACTTGGAAAGAATCACACCCTTGCCATGATACCTGGGAGGGCTCCAAACAATGGTAAGGTTATGGATATTCACTGCTGAGGGAGTCCCATTATAAAAACTCGAGGCTACTGTCCAATACTCTCAGGTTTTTTTTAGTGGTACCCCAGCTGAGATTGATTCCTGATAGGGATATTTATCTGTGATTAACTACCTTAATATTCACAAACCTGGAAAAATTCTTTTTCACTTACACAAATTGAGAAAGTAATTTGAATTTAAAACTAAAAAACTTGAGGAAGGGAATAATTTTTGTTTAAATGATCTTTTCGCTATATATATGACAATCTGGAGAGTATTATCATTGAAATATTAATTTGTTGGTATATCTGCGGTTCGTATTTCAACAGAACTGTTGTTTAGTCACGTTTGAATCTCTTTGTTATGGTTTAAATTAGACACTTATTAATCAATATCATCAGTTGTAAAAAATAGATACAATCTATAACCTGCTTTTATACTATTATTATTTATTTTATTTGAACACATAAATATTGGTACAACGAACCACAAAATACATATGCGCCACACAGATCTCATTTGATATGTGTGAGGGCCGTGATACTTCCCGGGTGCCCAAACCGAGGCAGGTGGTTTTCTTAGGGGGCTACAGCCCGAGCCTTCGACCTAAAGGTCTGATCCATAGGCAGTGGAGCATCGTAGGGAGATGCAGTCCCACGGTAGCAGGTGACCAACGATTGGTTCATACGTCATTTGTTCCCTTAGGATACTGGAGTCCATGTTCACCATTGGTTTGCAATCAGGGTTTTCCAACTCTCGTAGACGGACTCTCCATGTCCACCAACCCGGTTAAAGCTCCGGACATTCGCTTTTTGTCCTTTTAATTTCGTAAACAACACTCCCGCCGTGAGAAGGCAGTGAGTAGGACTTCCCTGGCAGAGGCTGTATACGCGTGACCATGTGAGAGCATTTCGAGAGGGTGAGCGCACTCTCCCTACTCTCGGCCTTACCAGGGCATTTAGGGGCCTGCTTTCATGCAAAAACTGACGTGATTAAAATGACTTTAGTTTTTGATTAATACAAACGAAACATGTTGTTAAACTAAAGAATAAGAAATAACAAATTTTTAACATAATTAAAAATGACAAATACTAACCTGTGGTGTTCGCATTTCACGCATTGGTGTAATACGAGGTGTAGTAGCACCATATTGTGTATCCATGATACGACCACCACTGTCTAACAAAGCCATATTTTCACGTGCAACAGGTACTTTTTTAAATTGACTATGTAATTCCAGTACTACATGCGTGGGTGTTGCATCACATATAATACCCAATAAACCTTTTAATGTACCCTGGATAAGAATTTAAAAAACAAACATTCGAAAAAAAGGTTACAGGGTAATAAATTAAAGAAACAATTTCCTAGTTGAAAACAATAACTCATTTAAGATTAACTCTTTGAAATGAAACATAAATATGTGTATTAGTTTTAAATACAGCAATTTATATGTAAGTGATTGATCATTAGATCATGGAAGAAACTTTTAATTTAATAATAATGGATGGTTAATGCCAAGACAAATCATAATCATGAATAATAAGAGCAATCGAACCAATCAACTGATGAGGGTTTTTATTGGCTTAAATAAAATAAAAGATTCAATAGCTAACTAACTAGAATAGAAACGTACTAAGATTGTTATCATGATGACTTAGCGCGAAATTCACTCAACCATTTGGGTGAATAGAGTTTTGGCATTGTAGCTGACATCAGTTTGTGATGAAAACCGGAAATTTAATTACTAACCTTAATCATTAACTGTAAATTATAAGTCTTCACACAGGTTTACGACCCTCATTTGGTCCTGCTTATTGAGTGAACACTCTCAAGGTCAATCTGACGTCGCTCCAAGGTCATCCATAAATTATAGTCTTACTGATATTGTTTATATTATGCCGAAATTCAAAAAAATTTAACAACCATTGTTCATATCTCATATTAGCACGTTGCTGTAAATGATTAGCGCAGATTTTGCTGAAAACTCCGCCTATAGCTCTTCCAGAGTTACTGCCGGTCCCAAGCCCGGGTAAAGGAGGAGAGTTGGGCATGGGGTTAGCGTCACCATCCCGTAAAAACCTAACTCGCTAAGAAAACGCTAACCAGAAAAAATAACTCAAACCGTTTAAACTCTACCCTGGGAGTTAGAGGTAATATGGCGCTTCATGGTGAAAGCCGAGTTCCTTCGGAAGCCACGAGGCCGATGCCCCTTCTAACAACCAGAGCAACAATTTTTATAGGTACATGGAACGTCCGGACAATGTGAGAGACCGGGAAGACCAGTCAAATAGCAACGGAAATGAGGAGATACAACTTGGCAGTACTGGGAATCAGTGAAACCCATTGGACCCAAGCTGGACAACAAAGGCTAAATACGGGAGAGATGCTGCTATACTCCGGTCACGAAGAGGGAAATGCTCCACACACTCAGGGAGTTGCTCTAATGCTATCCACAGTAGCACTAAATGCACTTAAAGGATGGGAATCTCACGGATCCAGAATCATCAAAGCATCATTCAAAACAAAGAAGGAGGGTATCACAATGAACATTATCCAATGTTATGCACCCACCAATGATAGCAACGACGACGTTAAAGATCAATTCTATGAGAGGCTGCAATCAATCATAGAGAAGTGCCCAAGAAAGGACCTCACCATTCTGATGGGAGATCTAAACGCCAAAGTCGGAATGGACAACACCGGATATGAAGACATCATGGGACTACATGGACTGGGAGAGAGAAACGAAAACGGGGAAAGATTTGCAAATCTGTGTGCATTCAATAAATTGGTCATAGGCGGTACAACATTTCCACACAAACGTATACACAAAGCTACATGGATCGCACCGGACCACACCACAGAGAACCAGATAGATCATATTTGCATCAATAAAAAGTTCCGAAGGACAATGGAAGATGTGAAAACAAGGATAGGAGCAGACATAGCTTCAGATCACCACATAGTTGTGGCCAATTTAAAAGTGAAGCTAAAGAAGAACTGGACAAACAGTGCTGCAAAGGTACAATACAGCCTTCCTTCGAAATACTGACAAACTCAATGAATTCAAGGTAGCTATCAACAACAGGTTCCAAGCCTTACAGGATCTACTGAACGAAGAAGAAACTACTATGGAGGATAGCTGGAAACGTATCAAAGAAACATTAAATTCAACGTGTCAAGAGGTTCTGGACCCCAAGAAGCATCATCACAAGAAATGGATCTTTATAGAAACACTGGACAGGATCACGGAAAGGAATAACAAGAAGACAGCAAATAACATCAGCCGAACACGAGCAAAGAAAGTCCAAGCACAAGCTGAATATACAGAAGAAAACAAGCAAGTGAAGAAGAGCAATAAAGCCGACAAGCAGAAATACGTGGAAGAACTAGCAACGACGGCGGAAAAAGCTGCAAGAGAAGGAAATATGAGACAGCTTTACGATACAACGAAGAAGCTAGCAGGGTAATATAGTAAACCAGAGAGACCAGTCAAAGACAAAGAAGGCAAGCCAATCACTGAAATTCAACAACAGCGCAACAGATGGACAGATTACTTTGAGGGACTCCTGAATAGACCGTCTCCAATGAATCCACCGGACATCGAAGCAGCACACACAGATCCTCCTATAGATGTCAATCCACCAACGACGGAAGAAATCAGAATGATCAACAGACAAATCAAGAGCTGGAAAGCAGCAGGACCCGACAATATACCAGCTGAAGCACTGAAGTCAGACATCGAAGTAACGACAAACATGCTTTATCTTCTATTCAAGAAGATTTGGGAAGAGGATCAAGTGCTGACTGGACTTGACTGGAAAGAAATACACCTCATCAAGATTTCAAAGAAAGGAGATCTGAGCAAGTGTGAAAATTACAGAGGTATTGCACTACTGTCGATACCAGGTAAAGTCTTCAACAGAGTGTTACTGAACAGGATGAAAGACGCAGTTGACGCTGAACTTCGAGATCAACAAGCTGGATTCCGTAAGGACCGGTCGTGCACAGACCAGATTGCGACACTACGGATCATCGTCGAACAATCAATTGAGTGGAACTCGTCACTGCACATCAACTTCATTGATTATGAGAAGGCATTTGACAGTGTAGATAGAAGAACGTTATCGAAACTTCTTCGACACTACGGAGTTCCTAAGAAGATTGTCAACCTTATCCGGAACTCATACGATGGACTACAGTGCAAAGTAGTGCATGGAGGACAGCTGACTGACGCATTCCAAGTAAGGACCGGAGTAAGACAAGGCTGTCTACTCTCTCCCTTCCTGTTTCTTCTGGTGGTCGACTGGATCATGAAGACCTCGACATCTGAGGGAAACCACGGCATACGATGGACAGCTCAGAACCAATTAGACGACTTGGACTTTGCAGATGACCCAGCCCTCCTATCACATACACACGAACAAATGCAGATAAAGACAGCCAGCATAGCAGCAGTCTCTGCATCAGTAGGCCTCAACATACACAAAGGGAAAACCAAGGTCCTCAAACACAACACGGAGAACAGCAATCCAATCACTCTTGATGGCGAAACTCTGGAAGACGTGGAATCCTTCACATACCTGGGAAGCATCGTCGATAAACAAGGAGGCTCAGATGCAGACGTCAAGGCGAGGATTGGCAAAGCTAGAGCGGCATTCCTTCAACTGAAGAACATATGGAACTCAAAACTACTTTCAACCAATATCAAAGTCAGAATCTTCAATACCAACGTCAGGGCAGTTCTACTGTACGGAGCTGAAACGTGGAGAACTACAACAACCACCATCAAGAAGGTACAAGTATTTGTCAATAGCTGTCTACACAAGATACTCAACATCCATTGGCCGGATACCATGAGCAATAGCCTTTTCTGGAAGAGAACCAACCAGCTTCCAGCTGAAGAGGAAATTAGGAAAAGAAGATGGAAATGGATAGGACATACATTGAGGAAATCATCAAACTGCATTACGAGACAAGCGCTAACTTGGAATCCTGAAGGGAAGCGGAAAAGAGGAAGGCCAAAGAACACATTACGTCGGGAAATAGAAGCAGATATGAAAATGATGAATAAGAACTGGAAAGAGCTTGAAAGGATTGCCCAGGACAGGGTTGGATGGAGAATGCTGGTGAGCGGCCTATGCTCCTTCACGAGGAGTAACAGGCGTAAGTAAGTAAGATTTTGCTGAAGAATATGAAGAGATTAAAAAAATATGAGGATGAATTCATTCATTTTCGATTATTCAAAAGATAATTTGCCGTGACTATTGAAAATTAGTACGTGGATAACACTTTTAGGGTATTATCAAAACTTTGAGTCAATTTGTGAAGTTCGAATTATTTGATTTTGATGGAGTTTTGTTCTCTGAGCTGGATAGTTTGGTCGTGGAGCTTTCATTGTTCTTCTGAATGACATCATAATCAGCACAAACTTCAGGTAGAAGTGAAGTGTTCGAATTTCTCCACATGTGGTTCACAACTTATTCTGTACACCTCGATGTTGATCAGTTCTTGTTGACGTTAAAACCGTCATTGTTTAATTCTTTGTTTTGGGTGTATCTCCCATTGGTTTAATTTTTGTGCCTATGTTTGTTTGATAAATTGGGTCGATTTCAATGCGCTTGTTGAATGCTGATTGACCTGAATGCCAAGCTTCTAAAAATTCCCTGGTGTTTTGGGAATTGCCTCTATCCGAAATCTCCACATTTTTCCAATCGAATGTGTGTCCACATGCATTGATATAAGTGAGGACATGTCATGGCGTTTGACTGCTAATTGATGTTTATGCAGGTGAAGATGAAAAGGGTGTCCGCTTTGTCCGATGTAGTGTTTTTCGCAGTTGACAGAATTTATTTTGTAGATGTTTGGTTTGTCTTCTTTTGTCATTTCATCCTTTGGTTTGCATAGGATTGATTGTAGTAATTTCGTCGGTTTGTGTGCTACAACTATTCTGAAGGTTTTCAGCAATCTCCGTGTCGTTTCTGATATGACTGTTATGTATGATAGTATGATCCTTTTGCTGATTTCTGTACTTGATTTTATTTTTGATGAAGTTGATTGGGTAGCCATTCTTTTGAAAGATGGTCTTCAAGTATTTTTCTTCATTTATCCGTGCTGTGTGTTACAGTGTGTCCTTGTCCTCTTGAAAAGAGTTCGTACGCAGTTGATTTTGTGAGCTGTTGGGTTGTTGCTATTGTAGTTGAGAATTTGATCTGTATGGGTCGGCTTCCTATACAATTGAGTCTCCAGTTTAACTTTGTCGGTTCTGGTGATCACTACATCCAAGAATGATAGTTTGTCGTTTGACTTCTGTTCCATTGTGAACTTGATGTCATCGAAGACGTTGTTGATCAGCCTGTAGGTGTTTTCCAGCTCATCCTTTTTGACGATGACGAATGTGTCGTCCAAATAACGAATGCAAATTTTTTGCTTGATCACTGGTAAGATCGAGGCCTCTAGTCTCGGCATCACTGCTTCTGCGATAAGTCCTGATATTGGTGATCCCATCGGTGTGCCTTTTGTTTGTTCATAAATTTCGTTGTTGTTAAGCATAAAGCGACGAGTTCTAGTAGACTTTGGCTTTGAATAATTGCTAGAATATTTAAACTAAATGATTGTAATAGGCAAAAAATATAGTCAAAATGTATTGAAATTCCATAAATAGTTTACTCTAATAGAGTTTTAACCTAATTTATATTGATTTGGTTCTCATAAATTGTAATTTGAGACTAGATATCTCAAACAAGGGGTTTGGGCAGTAGACTTTCAGCAAGTCGATTCTCAATTTGAATGCGACTTTACCTACCAAACGAACAGCACTATTTTGGTATAAAGTGTGGTATGTAGTTAATTATAATATGAACCTGGATGCAGTTTTTTTTAACTAAGAGTTAAACTTCAGTTTCGAAATGAAATACGAGAACTATTCAATTGATTTTAGTTTGTAAGACTATCTGTAAGTGATATTAACAAAACCGCTTCAAAGATTTTAGGAAACAAAATCAAAAATAGGCAGACCTTAACAATCAAAGCTGTCCTGCCAACTAGTTGACGTTCGTTACGACTACCTTTTCCACGTCCACCTTCATTATTACCGCCAAAGTTTCTTGCACCATTGATAGGTGTAATTGTTTTCATTGAAATACCATTTTCTGTATTGCTTTGTTCATTACCTCCTTGTGAAGTGGTTAATGCAGAGAGTTGACGAGTTTTAGCTACAACAAGTCCAGCATTCTCTAAGTGTGTACGACAATATATGAATGCCCATGAACGATACAAGTGTTTCACTTCACCAATTAATCCACAATGTGGTTTTTCTAATAAACGAACAGTTTGCTTTAATTGTATAGAATTTCCATTATGATCTAATGCTTGTGGTGGCCGACGAACAGTATTTAATCGACGCAATGCTGTATTCGATTTTAGATTAACGACTTTACCAAAACATGTTAGTACAGAGACTTGATCACGTTCAACATGAACAACAACACCGACAGTTTGCGGGTCAACTTGCACTAAATCCATCAATTGTACATGCCCAGATGATTCAACAGTTGTAGCACGATCTTGCCATAAACGTAAATCCTTCGGTGCAACTTTCATTTCATTCATACTATGATCGGATAAAACAACAGCTAGACTGGGATCAAAACGTATGACTAAACCAGTTTCATTAACATGTCGACCACTGAGGACCTTAAATATGAAGAAATAAAGATATTAACATACATATAATCAATACTGCTATGATCAATATGAGGTAAATATAAATTGATGGATAGGATGATACAACAGAAGGCTATAAATACAGTATAACACAGTGATATAATATCGAGACTTAACAGCTAAATGGACAAACGTTTATTATTAGACTACGAGAAACTTAAACTGGTTATATTATCCGACAATCAACTGAGTGAGTTTTGAGTCATACTGTTAGTGTAGTGATTAGTAAGACTACTGAACTATCCAAACTGAAGTATATTCAGTGGAGAGGGTTAGAATTTGTGACTTACTAGTTGGAATCCAAGTCCTTTAACCACTAACTTTTCGCGAAACTGATAGTACAGAGGGAGAAAATGTTCAGTTTTCATTCGAATCGCTGAAGTATTTCAACATCGATGGTATGATATAGCTGAGTGACCTTAATAAGTGGGCTAGTAATTGAAAGTTAGTCAATAACGAGGCGTATAGCATGGACACTTACGAAGTAATTATTCAGTAACTCGGTTTAAAAAAAAAGGAAAACAGGTTAATTAATAGCGAAAAGCGTTCCTTCGTGTTCACATTATAAAGTATTCTGAACGACGATTTCTCGCAGTCAAGAATCTTAATGACATGCTAATCATTATCCACAATAAAACTAACTGCCAGTATGTACCTATTTAAATATATGTTTGCAGGCAAATAAATATTGTGATAAGCAAATCGTACACGTTATATGATTTCGAATTATGCAGAGTAAAAATATGGGTTTATGATACCACAAAATGACTGGGAATAACATTGCTTCTGTCGCTACATAATACGTAATTTCTCGTTCTTAAGTCTCCATAGGAAAATAGAAATGGGTGCGAAAGACGTGAACTACTCGCGTAAAGCGATGAGAAGAATGAACTTTAGACTGGTCGAATACGTTTTGTGACACCGCACAACAAGACACGTAAATGTATGTATACGAAATTTTAGAAAGATTTAATAATCGGATCTTTTTAAAGCCCTTTCCTCTAACCTAACAATTATTAACAAAAGTCACTAAATTCACTTAATTGAGATGTAAAAAGTTTACCATAACTTAGAGTGTTTGTTAATCGACCGCTTCTGCTACCTTAACGTGATAGTCGAGTGTGTCTATTGTGATGACACAACCGAGCTATATTAACTGAAAAAATTTTCTTTTAGGTTTTACCATTTCGAACAGCTAGGCAAGACTTAAATCAGAAACTTAAGGTCCGAGGGAGAAGTTGAACTCCTAACTATAGAGGATTGTGACAGCAGTAAGGTGTTTCGCTCGGAAAGCCAGCATCTACAACGATGCTGCCTTCCCACAAAGGAAGTGAGGGGTTAGAATAAGTCAACCTCGAAAACGTCACACCTCACCTAACCCTACGGATTTCCGTCTCCTGAGGTAGGGCGTTTTGAAATGCCGTGCGCAAACGCTCCTAAGTAGTTGTCTTCTAGGCTCTGCGATCACGCTCTCAGGTCGCTAAGACCACCACTAATTCAGCATCGTTTTAAGGTCCCTTAAGAAGAAATATTCTTCCACGGTGTGGGCAGCCGGGGAGTGATAACCACCTCCTTACCTCTACCAGAACTCAAGATCATCCTTGTTAACAATCGAATCTCTTACTTAATAATTCTTCCATACCTACGACTAACCCTTCTCATATATCTTTACCACCACGCACCACTAATGCTAATTATTTGAGTTCACTTAATGATACATTCCTGGTCGCCTGAAACCACGCTGTCAACAACATGTTGGAGCTTTTAGTGTTAGAATATTGTGTCCGATGGGACAATAGGCTTCTTTGGCTAGGACTCTAGAATCTTGCACCATCGATGTATGCTGCGTCACCAAAACGCGCATAAAGGACCCAACTACAGTCATTCATTTGACCTCATCTTGTCAATAAAAAGAACCAACACGATTTACAATTCAAGTATCTGGAGACCCCACTGCTACTTCCCTTGGTTTCCCTGGTGTAGATATAGCACTAAGTTCTAAAGCAGAACAGACTCTCCTAGACTGGATTCCAACAGACAGTTGCTTGTGCGCTGTTCGACTAAACGAGACATTGAAAACTCGAAAAGATAGGGATACATGCCGTTACCTTCCCGTTGCCTCTGCTTACGCTACCACAGTTTGCAGCTTAGACTAAGTTAACGATGGATTTTATAGGAAACCATCCAGCCTCCTTCAAAAAGCTAAACTCTCTGATATAGTAGTAGTAGTGGCAAGTAATTTTAATGCCGAAGCAGGTACAATAAACCAAACCGAACCACAGTTAGGCGGATCTTACGGTGTTTCCGCTCAGCGAACAGATAGTAGCAACCATCTGTGGCAACTATGTTCAGATAACCGTCTATTTCTGCAAAACACCAACGTTAAATATAAGGAGAAACATCGTCTGACGCGGAGACCTCCACAACCGACTCATCCATAGACTCAAAAAGACCACATTGCCATTAGCCATTATTGGACGGGTTCGGTTGAAGACTGTCGCTCATCCTTGAGCACATGTTTAGACACGGATCATGATCTAGTTCAAGCACACATTTGACTTTCTGACTAAGGGACTGACGACGTTGTTTACATAGGTCTGGGAACTAGAGAGTGTACCAACGTCATGGAATGAGTCGATAGTTGTCCCTATCTTTAAAAAGGGTTCACGTCGTTCCTGTAACAACTATCGGGGGATAATTCTACTTCCGATTGCGTCCAAGCTATTGGCTTCCGTCATACTTCGTAGGTTGTTCAGAACCCGAGAAGGATTGACTCGCGAGGAGCAGGCTGGGTTTCGTTCCGGTCGAGGATGAATTGATCATATCTTCACCCTCCGCCAAGTGTTAGAACACCGCCATACTTATCAAAGGCCAACAATCGTAGTGTTTCTTGATATCAGGGCTGCCTTCGATTCGTTGGACAGAACTGATCTCTGGGATTGTCTATTGAAGAAGGACGTGCCTGAGAAGTTTATTAACATCCTAAAAGCCCTATACACAAACACCTCAGGCAGAGTGAGGGCATACAACCACCTTTCCATTCAAGCAGTGAGGTTAGACAGGGTTGCCCAATCTCACCATTCCTCTTCAACTTTGCCATCGTTGACATTCTGGAAACAGCTCTGATGGATGTAAGTAGTGGTGGTGTGGATCTGTTGCCTGGAGAAAGACTTCTCGACCTTGAGTATGCGGATGATATTGTCTTACTGTGCGAGAATGCCCAAACTATGCAATCCGCACTTAATCAGTTGGCAATCAATGTCCGTAGGTACGGTATGTGCTTTGCACCTTCGAAGTGCAAAGTACTTCTACAAGACTGGCAGGATTCTAATCGTGTACTCACCCTCGATGGTGAGCAGATAGAAGTAGTCGAGAAGTTCGTGTATCTAGGATGCTGCATAAGTGCTGGTGGTGGCGTGAGTGATGAGATCAATGCACGTATAGTGAAAGCCAGAGCGGCTTATGCCAATCTCGGCCACCTTTAGCGCCCTCGTGATGTTAGTCTGGCTGTGAAAGGTCGGATCTACAACGCGACGGTGAGAGCAGTTTTGCTCTATGCTTGTGAAACCTGGCCTCTCAGAGTTGAGGATGTTAGACGACTCTCTGTGTTCGGTCATCGCTGTCTCCGAAGGATTGTTGACATCCAGTGGCAACACCATGTCAGTGATGCAGAGGTTCGGCATCGTTTGTTCGGGCACAGAGACGATAATGCATTGGTGTCACTATCTCGAAACATTGACTTCGGTGGCTTAGACATGTTCTACGAATGTCGTCCCAGATAATTCCACATCGTGCATTATTTGCCGACTCTTGGAATGGTTGGAAATAGCGGAGAGGTGGTCAGTGTATGACACGGTGTCATGGTATGAAAGAAAGCTGCAAAGGGATGGCTTGTGTTGGTCCTTCACGACTCCCTGGCTGGGGTCCGGGAGATGATGTAACACAGTGGCTGGCGATGTTATCAGATATGGATCAGAATAAAAGCCAGTGGCGATCCTGCCGTAACCTTCTTTCAGTTTCTTCATAAAAAGTGGTTGCCTCTTCCTTAACTGTGAGATTTCTTCAGAGTGCACCTTTTGTCTCCCCCATCATTGTTCTCTTTTTTTATAATTCCCTACGTTCCTTACCTTTTTTTTCCTTCCTCTACTTAAATCTTGATTGTTTTGTGTGGCGAATATATATTTGGTGCCCCCTGTACTAATATTTATGTGTTCAAATAAATAAATAAACACATTTGTCTGAGCCATAATGGACGTAGAAAAGCCACAACATGTAAACCCCTTAGTGTCCAACTTAATGATGAAAAGGCTAAAAATATATTTTAGGAACAATTAAAAAGGGAGCCAGTCAACCGTGAAAATGATATCCACCCCGAAGTAGCTTCGTATGATATTCAACAAGTTGTGGAAACGGCAGTGATATCTACTCGTAACTTAAACCAAAAGGTTAGGAAAACTTAACCGATTTCAGTCGCGTCTACATAACTGATGGAGGCTCGGGAACTCATCCCGTCTAACTTTGAACTCGATGCTCAGCGGAGGAAGTTTAAACGTAGGTTGGTCAAAAGCTCACGTAATGATTGTGACTAGTGGTGTGTATCGAAAGCAGAAGAGATGGAAAAGTCAGCAGCGGTAGGTAACAGCAGACAACAGTTCCGACTTATTAAGAAGACAGGTATTAAAAATCCAGGACTAGTTTTCACTCAATCCAGGAGATTGGACTGGAGGGTAGAACACTTTAGGGGACAGTGCAACTGGCCTTCAGCCCCACTTCATTTACCCACTATCTCCAAGCAACCCGAATCGCAAACTGATGTAAGTCCTCCAACTCGAAGTGAGATTAAAAAGGCTATAAACAATTTAAAGCTACGAAGAGCAGCAGGGCCCGATGGACCGACCCCTGAGATTTCCAAGTATGGTGGTCCAGTTTTAGTAGTTAGATTAACTGAAATTTTAGCTAAAATCTAGGAACTGGATATAATCCCATCAGATTGGTCTCGATCGCCGACCGTCCCACTCCATGAAGTAATTAAAAATTGAACTTAGCCATGTTAGTAAACACAGACCACCTGGTTGGGGTCCGTATGATTATCGTAACCAATAGTTAAGCACTTTGAATGACATGGCTCGAAATCGTTTGCAATGGCGCAAGTGAGTTCACTCTTTGTCTTCCGCCAAATCCTGAGTCGAAATTTTTTATAACTTTTTTTATTTCGCTAATTTATATTTTCTTTTCGAGCCCGATCTTTGGTGCCCAGTCTTTCCTATTACCTCTGATACTTTTACTAACCCTACTATTCTAGGATTTGGCCTAACAACTTCATCTTTCTGTGCTAATGTGGTATCACTTGATTTGTGTGTGGGCTGTGATACTGCCCGAGTGCCCAGACCGAAGCAGGTGGTTTTCTTAGGAGGCTACAACCGGAGCCTTCGACCTAAAGATCTGATACACAAGTGAGTGGATCTCTTAATCAGTCGGCAATCAGTGCCCGTTGATATTAGCATGTGCTTTACACCTTCGAAGTACAAAAACTGATAGGACCCTGATCCTGCACTTACCCTGCGTAGTGAGCAGATAGAAGTAGTCGAGAAGTTCGTGTATCTAGGTAGCTGCATCCAGGGTGAGTACAGGATTAGAATCCTGCCAGTCTTGTAGAAGCACTTTGCACTTAGAAGGTGCAAAGCATATACCATACCTACGGACAAACCCTATCTAACCCCAATACTTAAATGGAACAATAGAGAAAGGTGGTTTTATGCCCTCACTCTGCCTGAGGTGTTTGTATATGAGGCCTTTAGGAGTAACGAGGAAACCAAAAGTAGGTTCCAGGAACAACTGAGATCACACTTAGGTAGTTCTGAAAACGAGGCTGACCCCGATGTTGCTTGGAAAGTTATACAATCAGCTGTGGAAACAGCAGTGACATCTACTAGTGATTTAAACCAAAGGGTTACAAAGAACCAATGGATTTCTTCAAGATCTATTGCACTGATGGATTCTCGCAAACTCATCCCATCATGTTCTGAATACGATGAAGAGCGTAAAGAAATCAGATCTAGATTAAGCAAAAGTCTAAGGAATGATCGTGAGCAGTGGTGGGCAACGAAAGCAAAAGAGATGGAAAAGGCGACGATTATAGGGAAGACAAGACAACTCTACAGACTAATAAAAGAAACTGGAATTAATAAGTCAAGTGTAAGTCAGACCATTTCGGAAAAAAACGACACTCTTATCTGCTCCCAGTCCAGATGCTTAGAACGATGGGCGGAACACTTTAAGGAGCAGTTTAGCTGGCCTTCAGCTACTCTACAACTACCCTCTATTCCCAGACAGTGTGAATGGAACATTGAAGTAGGTCCCCCAACTCTAGCTGAAGTTCAAAAGGTTATAGTTAATCTGAAACGAGGAAGGGCAGCTGGTCCAGATGGATTGGCCCCAGAGGTCTTTAAGGATGGTGGTCTAGTCTTAGCGACTAGGTTGACTAATATTTTAGCTAAAATCTGGGAGTTAGACGTTATTCCATCTAACTGGTCACAATCACTTATCGTCCCAATATTTAAGAAAGGGTCAAAATCATCCTGTGACAACCACAGAGGGATTAGTTTGACTAATATAGTATCTAAAATACTAGCTTCGATAATTTTCGGACGCCTAACTAAGACTCGTGAACTGCAAACACGTGAAAATCAGGCTGGCTTCAGACCTGGTCGTGGCTGCATCGACCACATATTCACCATTCGTCAGGTTCTAGAACACAGGCATACTTATCGGCGTCCGACAATGGTGGTATTCCTTGACTTAAAAGCAGCGTTTGATTCTGTTGACCGAGAGGTTCTGTGGCAGTGTCTGTCATTGAAAGGCGTACCTCAGAAGTACATAAACCTTGTGAAGGCTCTTTACTCGAACACTACTAGTCGAGTCAGAGCTTATGGCGAACTGTCATCTGCTTTTGCAACCTCAAGTGGCGTCCGTCAAGGCTGTCCACTTTCTCCTTTTTTGTTTAACTTTATCATAGACATCCTGATGGAAATAACGCTCTCATCGACTGACTTCTCAGGTATTGATCTCCATCCAGGAGGTCCACTTATCGGCTTAGAATACGCAGGTGACACAGTCCTGTTTGGTGAAGACGCTGATGAAATGCAGAGTCTTTTGTTAGCACTGAGCAACAATGCCAGAATGTTTGGGATGCGCTTCTCTCCCTCTAAATGCAAGTTGTTACCTCAGGACTGGTCTGCGTCAACACCTGAACTAAGGATAGGGAGTGAAGTAGTCGAACGTGTTGACAACTCCACTTGTCTTGGAAGTCTGATCAGCCCTAATGGGTTGGTGTCTGACGAAACCTCAGCATGGATTCGAAAAGCTCGTTTGGCTTTCGCCAACTTATGTCACCTATGGCGAAGGTGAGATATCTGTCTATCAATTAAGGGACGAGTATACTGCGCGGCAGTTCGTTCCATTCTACTATACGGCTGCGAAACATGGCCTGCATACACATAGGACAGACATTTCAGCTGACGTTCCTGTTGCGAACCTGGAGCGTACCCTTGGCATGTACCTACATACTCAACTACACAAGCCGAGACTCATGCAATTCATATACATAAACATACACATCGGACAGCCAGAAAGATTTATTGAGCTTCGAAATTGGGACATGAGTAATCGAGTTTACAGTAGGGTGAGGGATTAGTCCGATCTCTGCCGACCGCCCGAATTAACTAGCAAGGTTGCCCTCACTACTGAGCAGTGCTGCGAGGAGTCTTTGCGTCGGACTTTGTTTTTAAAGGAGCAATATATAATACACATAATATTACCTTGACATGATCACCTTGATTGAAGAACTTTCTTAATTCCACTGGTGTAAATGGTATGGGTTCTCGTAAGTCAGAATGATTCGGCTGAACAATAATCCTGTTATTGCCTTCAATGGAGACAACTTTACCACGAAGATTCTTAAGATCACCTTCACATACTTCGACAACATCTCCAGGAGTGAAACAATGGTTTGAAGCAATCTCAACATTAGCAGCTGAAGTTAAATTAGCTGCAGCATTAGCAGCGGCAGCAGCTATTTGTAGACTATCAGGAGTATGATGAAATCTTTCAAGTTCAGCTAGTGTAGGTCGAATGCCTTCAGTAAACTGAAAAAAAGAACGATTTATTTCGTAGTCTTTTAATTATTAAGTATAAATATTTTATTTAACTTTATCATTTTTGTATATTTACAAAAAAAATTGATCACATCGACTAAACGATCAAAATAGAACTGCTCATTTCTAAACAGAGATGAATGATGTCTAGCAGTGGAATCTAGGACACACGTCTCGTCCCACTTGGGACTCATCATCTGGATGCCCCTGGATATTTGTAAGTTGACAACTGGCATTATATCGATTTAAATTCTTACCGGAATATTATGAATGTCAAAAGATAATTTATTTTCATGACTTTGATAATTTTGGTTACTTTGAATATGTTTGAATCTAGCCGTGATAGAAATGTTGTGACTGGTTAGTTTCATTTGCTGAGATCCAGAGAAATGTAATTTAATATATTAGTGTTATGCATCAGTTTGGTCAAAACAGAAGATTTTCTAACATACTAGTACATTACCTTGTATGATAAACAAAGTCAGGAGATTATTTTTTTTATATATTAGCTCTATACTGTTTAAGATACAAATCGCATAATCCTACTTTTCACGTAAAACTGTTTATGAATCAAAAAATATCGATCCATATTGGACAACCATGAGTAGACAACTTACGTACAGTTACTATTAGTCTTTTTCACTTATATAGCAACTAGTTTTGAACACAACATAGGTATTTCTATTATGGAACAACTATATTGTGAAATAAAGTAATAGAGCGACAAGTATTCCATTACAGAGGTCTTTGTCTTTACTTGATACCAAATATGAATTTCTGTACTCGGCTTTGAGTCAAACTTTAATTGTGAAAGCTAACGATATTATTCGATTGTCCAAACCGAAGTAGGTAGGAAGGGTTCAGATATGAAACTTAGTGGTTGAAAGTCTAATGTTTTAATCAATGAGTTATCGTCCTAGCGTCTTCAACACAGTGTTCAGATTAGTATTGGCGTTTCAAGCTGTTATGACAGAGCAAATACATATCTCAGTAATTTAATCATACACTTTAGTTAAAGCAGTTTAATCTATTAATATTATAAATTGTATACATCCGTTAACTCATTGATTAATTTATGAAAAATATTTTACCAGTTTAATATATTCACATTTAACTAACCCGGTAAATAAATCATGTATGATTTAGTATATTAAGATAGTTGCTAATTTGTTCTGGTGCATAAAACATTTTAGTCAACAGTCTTGTCTTCTTCCTTGAGTCAAGCTATATCAGTCTTGTTCAGGTATAACACATAACAAGCGCCAGTTTGTCCGCAGTGGCCACATCAGTCTGGTGCAGTTACAACACAAACGACGAATATATAGTAGTTTATAAGGTTGCAACTTTAAACCGTATGTTTCGAGTTCATTACAATATAAATACTTTAAAAATGTAACGCATATTTCATGAATAAAAAAACTTTTACTTACAACAGCATTAATACGAAATTGTTTATGCAAGAATCCATCAGCATCGTATCGATTCCCCTCAAAAACCAATGATGATCCATCACGTTGTACACGATCAGATAATTTTGATGCATTGAATAGTGCTGGTGCTGGGCGCTTGAAACGTTTAAACTTATTGTTATCATCTTCTGTTTCTGTGCCACGATTACGTTTTCTTTCATAATCAATTCGTGGAACTAACTTAAGACCAACTAAATTTTGTGCATCTTCTACATATTCAACCTAAAAGTAGATCAAACCTTTGATCTGATAATTAATTCAAGGTACAAGCAACTTCTAAAAAATTGATTTGACAAATATGATGAAAAACCTGAAAATATTAGAATGAAACTGAACATCGCTTACTCATTACCAAGCATGATCGTTTAAATATCCTTTAACTGTTTACATACTGTGATTAGAAGCGATTATCTTGGAAGTTCTTATTACACTTAACTGAATGTTTTCATGATCCTTATTGTTATAAAGCTAATGGCGTTTAAAATTAATGGGTTAATCGCTCACTGCGGAGGACTTAGTTCCTAGCTTCGACACCTGGCAAGACCATAGATGAATACTAGTAAGAAGTCCCTTACTGGGATGAAACTGTTTAGCGCTTCCTGATTCTTAATGGTTGTCTACCTAGAGTCAAACAGAAGGTAGGCTACAAAATTCAACAATCATAAAAGCTCTCATACTAATCGTAAAGGTGGTTTTTCATTTAATTTTAAATAACTGCACTTATTTTATGTACACATTTTTCGTAACATTTACATGGGACAAGAGGAACTTGTTTAAATATTTTATCCAGAGAATTCCTTTTTGTGTCAGCCATATAGTACTGAATAAAGCGATTAGTACTGTTATTGCTACTACTTCCCTTGAACCCAGAACGTCATTTAGAATAACAACGAAAGCTTTTCAACTGAAACGTAAAATAATTTAGAAAGAAAGAAATTTTAAAAATATACCAACTGATAATAATGACTCCACAGCTGAATGTCAAACCTTTTGTGCTTACCAATGCTAAATCATCACGATAGAGTCCAGATTTAATCCGAACCCACTGGTCAGGTTTAAGTTGACCAGTTTCTTTCACCACACGTACAACTTCTGTCATTTCTTCAATTGGAACAAGTTGTTGCTTGTACATAGAAAGTCGTAAAGCTGTTATACCGTCTATGGCTTGTTTAACATGAGTTTGCTTGAAAGCCTCGACATAAATATAACCCTTCAAACCTTCCTTCGCAAAGGCCGACTTAATTTGTAGTGGAGTGTCAGAAAATTGATAGGCTATAAATTTACGCATCAGTGCAAGTACAGTAGCCTTTTCTTCACCCATTTTACATCGAAGTGCCCAGAGGTTAGGATCTTTGATACCTGGAAGACGTTCCTTTTGAACAATACTATCAGCCATAGCCTCACCATCGCCAAAACGATCGACATAATTTTGGTTCTCATAACGCTCTTGATAATATCTTTCTATTTCCTCTTCATCTTGGTCCATGATCTCACGTATTCTCCGGCGGGAATCTAATTCTCGAGCTGCAGGTACAGCGTCCAGGGCCTCTTCATCTTCCGGGCCAATCAGTTCTCCATCGTCGTCATAATCTTCATCTTCTTCTTCATCATCTTCGTCTACCGAAGCTTCATCATGAAACATATCCTATACAACAGTAAAACGTATTAATTAGCAATACAGAAAACAAAAACAAATACTTTACTCTAGGTATATACGGACCTAGGAATGAACACCTCAATCAGTCAGCTGCAACGTAGGACCAGGCACGTATATGCATCGGTCCAACTTGCCATACGGCATTAGCAGTCAGTCAGTCAGTCAGCTGCAACGTAGGACCACGCACGTATATGCATCGGTCCAAGTTGCCATACCGTATTAGCACAAGATGAACACCGGATTCATAGTAGTTAATCCAGTGGTGGTAATATATAGAAAGATTCACAATATCCGGTGGTCGGATACCATCAGCAGCAGCCTACTGCGAGAGAGAACAAACCAGCTTCTAGCTGAAGAGGAAATTAGGAAAATAAACTAGAAGTGAATAGGAACTACATTGTGGAAACCAAACTGCATCACAAGTTGGACGCTAACTTGGAGTCCTGAAGGGAAACGGAAACTAGGAAGTCCAAAAAACACATTCCATCGAGAATTGGGAGCAGATATGGAAAAGATTAATAGTAACTGAAAACGATTGTCTAGGACTAAATTCGATAGAGAATGCTGGTGGGCGGCCTATGCTCCTCCATGAGGGGTAACAGGTGTATGTACGTATACAAACTGTCGAGGTTGATACGGTCTTGGGGAACACCAAAGAGAAAAAACGATCAGAAATGGTTTGGTTTTCAGAAAATATACATATAACTCCTTATTGGTGAAGCGGTGGCTTAGTGATTTAGGCATCTGAATTTCAACCATTAAGTCCTAGGTTCAAGCTCCCTGGGTTGTCTTGGTTGGGGCAACCGTGTAGTGTCTTTAGTTCTCACACTTGGAATGTAACTCATGCCCAAATAGCTCGAAAACGAGTTAATTTAGTTTTTCATTTTGGTAACTGATTACACAGGTTTGTAGACGAAAACAGTATGAGCTGGCAAAATCGCCCATCAAACCGAATTCCTACAACTCGCATCAGCTCGATAAGAAACGAAGTCAGAAGTACGGAAAGGAAAGCAGTGAAAATAATACCAATCAGTGTAGTTGAAAGAGTAAATCAAATAATTTTATATTCAGAATTAATATAAATCTAGTTAGCCTTCTCTTTTGACCAACTATAACAGAATACCATGCATTTGGCCTTTTGATTAATCCTATGAATATAATAACAACTGTCGTGGGATCAATTCATTTTACTTCTTGCGTTTGAATCTTCCAAATGCTCACCGACTTAAATACAAGTACACTAGCGAGTAATCTAACCAACATGTCAACAACTTGAAATGGAAACGTTTATTTTACTTCAAAAACCACAAACCAAGGCGAGTTTCACAAAATAAAACATGTAGAAATACGCGTAGCAATTCTAGATATTGTAAAGAAGAAAAACAAGTTTTTCATGGTATTGTGTACAAAATTTCATGGGTTTTATCAGAACGTACGTGAACAGTACCATCAAAATGGGGTGGAAAAAATCAATAAACTGCTAGCAAGTTCGATGTTTTACCTTAATTGCAAAATTCATCCTTCTCTTTTTCTTCGACGTCAAGGCAGGTTCTTCATCTTCATCGACATCATCCTCTTCCTCGTCTTCTTCTTCATCATCATCCTCATCTTCATCATTATCGTAGTAAAGATTTTTCTTGGTGTACTTTTGGGTCTTATTCTTTTTTTTAGGTGGGGACGGGCTAGCTGATTCGTCTGAATTTGAACAGTCACTCATCTCAATTAACTAGAAACGTAGCGTTTAATGCAAACTTCCTGGGTAAATTGTGTCCAATACGACTTTGAGGTCGGGTCAAGTGTTGCTGTAGTTCTAGTTCATCATCCTAACTGCAAAGCTTTTTACACAGTTTGACACTGTCACAAAAAAAACGGTAAGCTGGAATATGTTAATTGATGAATTAAAAAATAATTTCAATGGTTAATATCATGAGTAAGTTGAAGCTAGACCACCATGGAAATCCTGGAAGCAACAATTCTTGACACTGGAACATGACGGCGCTACTTGGACACCCTTAGTCTAAGGAAAAATAGATTATAATGTGGCTCTAGTTTAGTCTATAGATTGAGAATTGATACTTAATAGTTTGAGCTCATTGATGTGGCATATGTGGTTCGCCTTATCGAGAGCTTAGGGGTGTAGTAGTAAACAAATCCTCAAAATCAATAAATCTGTAGGTCTTCAACATTTATTGCAGGCCGCATTAGTTTTATTGGAAATACCGTGTTATATTCTACGCACACTTCTCTCTTTATAAGAAATGGTTGTCCATCTGCCCACTAGTCAGCAAATTCATAAAACAAATTTGCCCCTTTTAGAAACAGTGTTATTGTAAATGAAAAAAGTTTGTAGGTAATAAGTGGTCACGCCAATTGTAGCGTATCAAAAACTGTATTAGTTTCGAGGGTATTGTAAGAAATGCTACCGTTCGGTAACTTGAAGTTTAATTGAATTGGCCTCCTCTGAAAACTGGTGTGATATGTCTGGGGCTTCACTATGACCTGGTGGGTGTGAGAGCGTCGCAATCGGGTATAGATTCGTCCAACTTGATAAAACTTTTTAATGCTTACTTGACTTTTTACCAGGACAAACTATAGGAAACTCCGCCTGTAGCTCTCCTAGAGTTACTGCCGGTCCCAAGCCCGGGTAAAGGAGGAGAGTTGGGCATGGGGTTAGCGTCACCATCCCGTAAAAACCTAACTCGCTAAGAAAACGCTAACCAGAAAAAATAACTCAAACCGTTTAAACTCTACCCTGGGAGTTAGAGGTAATATGGCGCTTCATGGTGAAAGCCGAGTTCCTTCGGAAGCCACGAGGCCGATGCCCCTTCTAACAACCAGAGCAACAATTTTTATAGGTACATGGAACGTCCGGACAATGTGAGAGACCGGGAAGACCAGTCAAATAGCAACGGAAATGAGGAGATACAACTTGGCAGTACTGGGAATCAGTGAAACCCATTGGACCCAAGCTGGACAACAAAGGCTAAATACGGGAGAGATGCTGCTATACTCCGGTCACGAAGAGGGAAATGCTCCACACACTCAGGGAGTTGCTCTAATGCTATCCACAGTAGCACTAAATGCACTTAAAGGATGGGAATCTCACGGATCCAGAATCATCAAAGCATCATTCAAAACAAAGAAGGAGGGTATCACAATGAACATTATCCAATGTTATGCACCCACCAATGATAGCAACGACGACGTTAAAGATCAATTCTATGAGAGGCTGCAATCAATCATAGAGAAGTGCCCAAGAAAGGACCTCACCATTCTGATGGGAGATCTAAACGCCAAAGTCGGAATGGACAACACCGGATATGAAGACATCATGGGACTACATGGACTGGGAGAGAGAAACGAAAACGGGGAAAGATTTGCAAATCTGTGTGCATTCAATAAATTGGTCATAGGCGGTACAACATTTCCACACAAACGTATACACAAAGCTACATGGATCGCACCGGACCACACCACAGAGAACCAGATAGATCATATTTGCATCAATAAAAAGTTCCGAAGGACAATGGAAGATGTGAAAACAAGGATAGGAGCAGACATAGCTTCAGATCACCACATAGTTGTGGCCAATTTAAAAGTGAAGCTAAAGAAGAACTGGACAAACAGTGCTGCAAAGGTACAATACAGCCTTCCTTCGAAATACTGACAAACTCAATGAATTCAAGGTAGCTATCAACAACAGGTTCCAAGCCTTACAGGATCTACTGAACGAAGAAGAAACTACTATGGAGGATAGCTGGAAACGTATCAAAGAAACATTAAATTCAACGTGTCAAGAGGTTCTGGACCCCAAGAAGCATCATCACAAGAAATGGATCTTTATAGAAACACTGGACAGGATCACGGAAAGGAATAACAAGAAGACAGCAAATAACATCAGCCGAACACGAGCAAAGAAAGTCCAAGCACAAGCTGAATATACAGAAGAAAACAAGCAAGTGAAGAAGAGCAATAAAGCCGACAAGCAGAAATACGTGGAAGAACTAGCAACGACGGCGGAAAAAGCTGCAAGAGAAGGAAATATGAGACAGCTTTACGATACAACGAAGAAGCTAGCAGGGTAATATAGTAAACCAGAGAGACCAGTCAAAGACAAAGAAGGCAAGCCAATCACTGAAATTCAACAACAGCGCAACAGATGGACAGATTACTTTGAGGGACTCCTGAATAGACCGTCTCCAATGAATCCACCGGACATCGAAGCAGCACACACAGATCCTCCTATAGATGTCAATCCACCAACGACGGAAGAAATCAGAATGATCAACAGACAAATCAAGAGCTGGAAAGCAGCAGGACCCGACAATATACCAGCTGAAGCACTGAAGTCAGACATCGAAGTAACGACAAACATGCTTTATCTTCTATTCAAGAAGATTTGGGAAGAGGATCAAGTGCTGACTGGACTTGACTGGAAAGAAATACACCTCATCAAGATTTCAAAGAAAGGAGATCTGAGCAAGTGTGAAAATTACAGAGGTATTGCACTACTGTCGATACCAGGTAAAGTCTTCAACAGAGTGTTACTGAACAGGATGAAAGACGCAGTTGACGCTCAACTTCGAGATCAACAAGCTGGATTCCGTAAGGACCGGTCGTGCACAGACCAGATTGCGACACTACGGATCATCGTCGAACAATCAATTGAGTGGAACTCGTCACTGCACATCAACTTCATTGATTATGAGAAGGCATTTGACAGTGTAGATAGAAGAACGTTATCGAAACTTCTTCGACACTACGGAGTTCCTAAGAAGATTGTCAACCTTATCCGGAACTCATACGATGGACTACAGTGCAAAGTAGTGCATGGAGGACAGCTGACTGACGCATTCCAAGTAAGGACCGGAGTAAGACAAGGCTCTTTACTCACTCACTTCCTCTTTGTACTGGTGGTCGACCGGATTATGAAGACCTCGACATCTGTGGAAAACACTGCATACAGTGGACAGCTCAGAACCAATTAGACCAGTTGAACGTCGCAGATGACCGAGCCCTCCTATCTCCTCAATATACACACGGGGAAAACAAAGAGAGAACAAACCAGCTTCCAGCTGAAGAGGAAATTAGAAAAAGACGATGGAAATGGATAGGACACACATTACGAAAATAATTAAACTGCATTACGGGCCATCCCAAACTTGGAATCCTGAAGGGAAGTGGAAAAGAAGAAGGCCAAACAACACAATACGTCGGGAAATAGAATAAGATATGAAAAGGATGAATAAGAACTGGAAAAACTGTATAGGATTGATTGGGACAGGGTTGGATGGAGAATGCTGGTGAGCGGCCTATGCTTCTTTGCGAGGAGTAACAAGCGAAAGTAAGTAAGCAAGTAAGCAAATTGTAGGAATAGGGTAGCCCTGCCTCCTATTCCGTTCATTTTGCCACTGCAAAACAACCACTTACCGAATGATGCCAGCTCATGTTCTGTGATTTGAGAAGATACCCGTATTTCAAATATCTCCGGCAGATAAGTAGATTTTGCATTACTTAGTTGAAGTGACTCATCCAATCTGTTCGGTAAACTCGTAGTTTTGTATTTGAGCAGATGTTACCTTAGATGTGAGACTCATTCAGGTCCTCGTTCTTTTTCTTTGAATAAACTTATGTGAATTGAGAGGCAAATTACCTGCAAAAGAATTTCCAAGTGGATGACACTTGTCTCTTCCACGTCCATTTTTTGTTCTTGATATTTCATAAAAAAGCTATTCAGTTCAAATTTACTTATGCACTTAATTCTTGAACCATGTAACCAGTTCGGATTTCATTTGGTTACCAATGTACGTCGTTTAAGATATTCATAGGCTTCAAAGACTATTTTATGAACTTCAAGTTTCCATTACGGTAAACTGCATTATCAGGGATCGTATTTACTAGGAGACTGCAAAATAATGTTCCTTCTGTTAATGGGGTGATACAGATAAGTTGATTTCGTCGCTCTTTGCCTCAATACTAAAATGGACTATTATTTTTATTTGGCTGTTTTAAATTAGCACCTAAAATTTATCCGAGAGTTTTCATCGATTCTTGTCGATTAAGATTCAGATTTGCGCATTGACTCCGACTTAAAATTTGCTTGGAAGAATTAGTGAATTTTTGTCCCACATGATATGAGCTATGGTAGTTTGAAGCGGTTTTTACTTAAGGAAAAGTATGACATAATTTATTTTTTCTTTAGAACCTGAAGGTTTAAACAATCCAGCAAACAACTTAGGGAATTAAAAACACGAAGTTCAGCGAAGTGCTCTCTTTTCAACGAATTTATAATCAAGCTGCACAATGGTATATAAATGAAGGTGATCGAACATCAGACGTAACCAAAAATCGTCTAAGAACAACAATTAAAAGAACATTTGATGCGGCTAAACTGCGAACAACCATCACTAGTAGGAACTTATTTTCTGTATCCATAAAAGATGAGCTTCCGCTTCTGGTCGCCTCTATGTGCATCTACCAGTTCACCTGCTCTTGTGGAGCAAAGTACATTGACAGAGCGCTCGCTTTCAACTCGCATACGGGAACATATCCCAGCTTGGTTCTATAAGGGTGAAATGAAAGCAGTTAGGAGTTCTATACTTGAACATTTAATCGACTGTAACCATTCTACGGATCAGCAGTTTGATTTTATGTTTGTTTATATGATTCGTTCAAATCTACCCAGATTTCTTCGTATATAACCCTTAAAAATAGCTG